ATCACTTGATTTTTTACATATCTTATAGTTTAAGCTTAGGTATAGTTATTCAAAACCTAATTCGCGCTCTAATACCACTTGTAACACCTATACTTTCTAACAACCATTATTTCACTGTTGGTTGTACAAATATCATGACATCTAATCATGATAAAATCCAGCCTTACAAAAACTTCATAAAGTCTATCATAGTTTACAAATATTTGGTATTACCTCAATCCATTCCAAAGACTTCACCAAGTCTTCTATAGCCATCACTTTCTTTTCAACTTTCACGATTTCAGTATCATGAAAACAAATTTTAATATTTAAGACTTCAACTAGTCATAAACGACAAACATGAGGAGTTTGTTTCCCAACATAAGCTTTACATATAAATGTATATACTGAAATCTATAACTGTGTTACTTGAAGGAAACCTTTAACGATGTTTACCAAACAAAACATTTAACGATGTTTTCCAAAGGAAACCTTTAACAATGTTCTACTCACACGAAACTTTAACGATGTTTCCTAAAGGAAGCCTTTAACAATGTTCTACTCACACGAAACTTTAACAATGTGTTCCAAAGGAAACCTGTTTTTAGTCTTGTTGAGTGGACGGCCTTTTTATTCCACACGAGCTCTAAATTAGAATCAATTATCTAAACAATGCTTGTGGCCAATACGCTTCATGAGAAAGTGACGAAAACTCAAATGCTAAAGTATCATGTATGGTAGATTGAAAATACAACAAGAACCATATATTTTGCAATTTAATCTCAAATGGGTATACCGTAATCAGAAATTAAAAAAAAAATGTTCAAAAACAATTTGTATTAGGTTTAGGGAAGTGTAATAAAAAATCGAATCATTTACTATGGCAGGAAACGGAGTTGACGTGTCTACTATTGTCGAAGATGAAATTGTATCTAGATGTATAAAGCCACAGTGGGCTCATGTAGAGTTAGATTTTTTTTAAAGATTATATCTAAGAATTATTATTAGTCAATATTAAAAAAAGAAAAAATTTCAATAAGAATAAACAAAAAAAACGAAAAAAATATGAAATAAGATTTCAGCAATATATAATCAATAAAAAAAAAGAGGTTCGAAGAGGTAGGAAGAGACAAAATAAATGTGTCACACCCCCAAACCAAGGATGGCGGAAACGTCCGGGGGTGGAGGACTTCATGTATAGTATCATAACCACAATTTCAACAGTAATTTAAGCAAACACAACCAACATATATATAACTGAAAAAGTTACATCACTTGTATGAATTACATGGTTCAAAATCAATTACAATATGTTGACAAAATATGAAAAGTTTGACGCCTTAACGTCCCATCCTCAAAAGCACTTGATTACCTGTTTAGTGTTTTCCTGAGAATACAAGTTGTTTGAAAAGTGTCAACACAAAGGTTGGTGAGTTCATAAGCTTTTATTATAAAACTTAGTAGAAGTCTTTCACATGTAAATGTCGCGTTTGTTTCAGGAAAATCCGATATTTTCCTTGAAATCCGTAAAATGTAGCCTTATAACCAAAGACCAAAATGTATAAGAAATCATCCTTACTTAGTAGAAATGTCGTGAGTTTGAAATGATATGGAAAGTAAATTTTAAATCAACCTAAAACCTACTTCGGTTTTATGAAATCCCGTAAACTTTATGAATTGTTATCTCCCTAGGTGAGTCGCTATAATCATACTGTGACTATGTGAACCTGCCACAACGTTTCTCAGGCGTCGCAAAAATGAAATGACATTTGTCACCCGTAGACCTGCAGGTCCCACTGTAGCTAGCAGCAAGGTGTGGGGTGTCAAACCCAATATAGATCTATATACAAGTATCACGTTCTCCCTCAAGGAGATTTGATTATAACTACCAGGAATTATATCCCGCACTCGGACGTACGGGGAGAGAGAGAGTCTCACAATATAGGTTAACAAGTTTACGTGAAATGTGTGTGAATATAAATCTTTCTTGTATGAATGTACCCTTTTTGTACGAGTGTGTTGAGTGATGTATCATAAACTATACCTATTATAGTTTATCTAAAATGTATGTAATATGTATGAACTCTTTTATGGAAATGTATTAGTGTTATGAATTTATCAAACTATACTTTTTATAGTTTAATATACGTGTTCTAAAATGAATGAATAATATTTATTATGAATTACTTAGTTTCAGTTCATGATGACAAACTAACAAGGAAACACATTCAATAATTAGAACTTATGATTATACACTTTGCTCAACATAATACAAAGTGTTATGATATTTACATGCTGTTGGCTAACTTTAGCCATTCTGCCCTGTTTTGGAAAAATCATAGAAAAATCATACGAAGTCGAAAACTAGATCCGTAAATTCTGAGAGTTCACAAAATGTGTCTAGTTTACTCATAATTTTTATCACGATTTTTAATGACCTCCAACTGGGTGAATAAGTCCAAAATCACAGACTGGTCCGGATTGTTGTTTGAAATGATAGGCAGTTTTGTAAAAATCACCATAAATTGTAGAAAAATCGTATGGAGATGTGCAAGTAGCCATTTTAAAGCTAAGAACTTGAACTATTTGCACCTTGTACAGTTTTGAAAACAAAAATGTTTAAGATGCCCAAAACAGTCCGTGAATGGAGTTGAACTTTTCTGATGAAGGCTGTTAGAAAAATTTAGTTATGTTCTTAGTGTTTTAACTTGTATTCCCCCCCTGAAAACTTGAGAAAACATGAAAATGTAGGGGTATGAACTCACCTTAAGTGATTTCAGTAGATGATTGTTGAAGAATGGAAGTGTTTAATTCAAGAACACTTGGAGATGCCTTGAAGATTTTCGAGAATCTAACATTATAGTTATGGAGTTTGTGTAAGAAATCAAAGATTTGAGTAGAATGAAGTGAAATAATAATAGGGAGGATGAATTTTACTTACTAAGAGTGGAAGAACACTTGAAATCAGCCTTGAATCTCGAAATTTGTGTAGAAAAAGTTTGAGAGAAAAGTGGTGTTTGTTACTTAGTGGAATGAGAGCAAATGAGAGAAAATGAGGAGAATGGGTGTTTGTTCCAGCTCAAAAAACATGGGAGTGAGTGTAATTTGAGTGTAAGGGACATTGAAGTGACATAGGTAAGGTGGGGAGGTATGGCTGGTCATAGAGTGGGTGTGGGGTGGTTGCTTGTGTCATAAGTTAAGGCAAAGTCAACACTCCACCTTAAATAAATCCCCCATTAGATCTTTATTATTTAGATAATGATTTTCATAAAAATATGTTTAAATTATGAATATTTAGAGTTTATTATGTTAAAATATAATTTCTGGAGAAAATCCCGCTTTAAAATCACGAAAAACGGGCTTAAAATGTTAAAAATATCAAAAATGGGCTAAAAGTGACAAATTTCCGAAATCTGGCCGAGGTTCGGCCTTCTGATGCTGAAACCGAGAGGAGGGAGGGTAGAAACCGAGAGGGGAGAAGAGAGAGGGTAGGAACCGAGAGGGGGGAGGAGAGAACAGAGAGGCGCGAAGAGACAGAGAGGAGAGAAGGAGCAGAGACCGAGAGGAGGGAAGAGACAGAGAGGCGGAGTAGAGACCGAGCGACCAGAAGAGAAGAGAAGAGACAGAGAGTGAGAAGACAGAGACCGAGCGACCAGAAGAGAGACCGAGAGGGGCAGAGACCGAGGCTCGGTCTCGCATGCCTCAGCCAACAGAGGCTCGGTTCTGGTCCTAAGAGGCCTCTCTTCTTGGTTTCGGTTCCTAAAGCCTATTTTTCTCGTTTTCGCCCCGTTTTAAGCCGTTTTTGACCCGGTTAAGGGTCGGAATGACCCGAATGATTCCAAAAAGTTACGGGAACTTTTGAGAGAGATTTGGGAGAGATTTCACATACTTGGAGAGATTTGGGAGAGATTTGACATTCTTGGAGAGATTTCTCATACAAAGAGATATTTGAGAGAGATTTCACATACTTGGAGAGATTTGGGAGAGATTTGACATTCTTGGAGAGATTTCTCATACAAAGAGATATTTGAGAGAGATTTCACATACTTGGAGAGATTTGGGAGAGATTTGACATTCTTGGAGAGATTTCTCATACAAAGAGATATTTGAGAGAGATTTCACATACTTGGAGAGATTTGGGAGAGATTTGACATTCTTGGAGAGATTTCTCATACAAAGAGATATTTGATAGAGATTTCAAGTGTGGCATTTGTGAGTGTTTGGCTCCGCAATGCAAGTTTCTTGAGCCTCGTTAAGTCATGATTAAGGATCCCACACACTCCCGATGAGTATGCAACATGGTTTTTATCAGTTTAATTCATTGATTAGCACTAGGGCTTAGGAAATTTTAACACAAGACTTTTCTCAAGTGATGTTTTCCCATTAATATAGCAAGTTATACAGTATGAACATAACACAAACCCTAATACACAAGGTTTAATCGAGTTGACCGGCTTGACTTGATGACTTGACTTGACTCAAGATTGACGATTGTCACAAAATGTTGCGCCAAGAAGAACACGCGCATATGTTTTTTAATCTGAAAATTTTTGAAAAACAAACAATTGTGAGAAAAAAAGTGTTGCACATGTGCTGCATCGCACAACAATAAAAGGTGTGAAGAAGTTTTTTTCCAAAAAACAAATAGCACCTAAGTCTTTGTAAAGACTTATAGAATTTGCCAACTATATTTTCCTCTAACAAATTGATAAAAATGCTTGAGTCGAATGACTTATAGAATAAACAACTTTTGCTAAAAAAAACCTTTTGCTTAGAGGATCATAACTCTTACAAATCTATAGCTATAATCTAAAAAACAACTTTGTTATCACAATACAACGATTGAGAAGGAAAACAAGCAAACTACACTGCTAAACTTTTTTCTATGGTCAAGCCAGTTCTTTGGAAGACTACATCCATAGATATAGGAAGTTTCATCGCATCTGACGCAAGGAAACCAAATGTATCAAACACAAATGGTATGAACACGTGTTGATTTTTCATATATGATTTCTCATGTTTTATGATATTGGTATATTGCATTTAGCAGTTTTTAAAGTAGCATGCCTCTTCGTGATAGCCCTCAAATCCATGAGAGAGGATATCCCTATAAGGTCCATATAAGCATGTTTTCCTCCAACCCATACAAAAATCAAAATGTCAACAGGTTCGATCTTCCTTCCGTCAAGAAACTCAAATAATAACTCTTTAAATGCCCTATTCAAATGATAAAACATTTTTCAAAAAACTTGTGTAAAATGTGTATCGTAGATACTCTTAGAATTCATATAATTTTTTTTCTTAAAAAACTTTTTGCGTGGCGGGTCATAACTTTTTAAATGACCTATTCAAATGATTAAACACTTTTCAAAAAAACTTGTGTAAAATGTGTATTGTAGATGCTTTAGAATTCAACAACGGTTTACAGAAAATACACTTTCATTTATACTCCTTCTATTTGTGTATGTATTTCAAAATTTACCTTTTATTTTTAAAAACTTTCTGAAATGCCTTTATTATTTTAACGTATTAATATTATACTACAGAATAAAATTTTGTATGTATTGTTTGTGTAGTAAGTCTAAATACATAATAGATCTCTTTTATTCTATATTGTGGTAACTGGTACATATGTATCAAACTTTCTTTTTGTGTGTGTCGATATTTTTACTTACATTTCCTTCTACTAATCAAAATATAGAAATCATGTTTGAATTTGTAGAAATAAATAATATCCTACTCTTGTATATCCAACATAAAAACAATAATATTCAAAACGAAAATCAATTATGTAATTTTTTTTTAATAATATGATCATAACTTAGACCCCTGTTATTATTTATTCATTTTGATATATAATAAGTGGAACAAAGTTCATTGTATCTTAAGGAAATCATTCTGCAATTAGGATGGATGAGCTTTAACTTTTTTATATGTTTTAATTGTTCTTTATTTGACTTAAAACATAACAAAATAATTATAAATTATAGTCATTTTTATTACATTTAATATTGTATAATATCATGAAAGCATTAAACTATACAACTTTGATTTTCCCCCTAAGGTTGAGGAGGTTGAGAAGGTGGGCCCGTTTTCTATATATATCATATATGTATACACTTTTGATAGAACATGTTGTTCTGTATTTAATTTGCATTGGAGTAAAACTGTGACCGATGTCTATGGAAAAAATATTATAAACTTGTTGTACCCAAATAGGTGGTTAATGAGTACATGACTTGCTCTTGATCTTTCGTATATTCAAATGATGTAAATACCCTTGTTAGCAAAAATAGATAACAATTGTTGTGTTACCTAGGGTAGAATTGACTGTGGGAAATTGTAGCAATCGAATAAGAACTTTCCCCTTCATGATCACCAAGTACAGTTTGTGTAATGTTATTGAGTTCCATGGTTTTTTCGTCTATGAAAGGGGGATTAGAAGGAAAGGGTAAATGTTCATCATCTTTTGCCAACATTTTTAGTACAGTTGACATTGATGGCCTTAAAGATGGAGCTTCTTGGGTGCAAAGAAGTCCTACATGTACCACTTTTATCGCGTCTTTTTTGAAAATAATGTTTGGGTAAATATCCATCAATAGATTCGGGTCAAAGATTTGCTCCACTGTACCTTTTTGGAAGTGCTTCCATGCCTATTCATCCACAAATATAAAAATTCAAAACCGGTTACTATAATTGGAATTTTTTTACTACTTTTAGAAAACAAAACTTGAAATATTATGTTTTAGGCGAAGGGTTTATACTTACAGTAGAAACTATGCTGTCGGTATATTCTGTTGTATTGCTTCGGTTGTTTTCTATACCAGTGATTATTTCCAGAAGTAAAACACCAAAGCTATAAACATCCGCCTTTTCAGTTAATTGACCGTGTGCTAGATACTCTGGAGCCATATATCCACTGACGAAGATGAAATAAAAATTAAAAGATTGTTTTAGTAATTTAGACGGCTATGAATATAGATGTTTTTTTTTACTTAAAACAGAAAGAACGACTTACAGTGTACCCGCAATAGCAGTACTAAGGTGAGTTTGATCATCTTGAAAAGATCTGGCTAACCCAAAATCAGCTATTTTAGCACGAAGTCTCAAGTCTAACAAGATGTTAGCAGCTTTGATATCTCTATGAATAATTCGGGTCTTGGTGTTCTCATGAAGGTATACTAGACCTTCTGTTGTACCAATAATGATCTCAAATCTCTTCTCCCAGTTTAGCGTTCTTCCCTTTGTTTCATCTGTAGCACAATTCATAAATTTATAAATATACATCGGATTCTTGGATTTTGAATCTTTTTAAATTTACCAAAAATGAAGCGGTCGAGGCTCATGTTGGGAAGATATTCATATACGAGAATGCTTTCGGGTCCTGAACAACTGCATCCTAACAACCTCACAAGGTTTTTATGTTCAACACTGCTAATTATGTTAACTTCGTTGTAGAAATCAGCTACTCTGAATTTGTTGTTGACGTAGAGCCTTTTCACAGCTATTTCTCTTCCATCTGAAAGTACCCCCTGAGTGAAATTTTCACTTCCAATATTAGTTTTATAAATATAAAGGACAAGACAATCTGAGTCTGAGTCTGAGTATTAGTCCAATGCATGCCAAAACACAGTACCTTGTAAACGGTTCCAAATCCTCCCTGTCCGAGCTTGTTGGAATCGTTCCAATTTGCCGTGGCTTTCTCAATAGTGGAGTATTTGAAGTTTAAGCTACTGTTAGTAAGAATCTTTGCGAGTTTCTCAGCATCATAAGAGCCTGAAAACATTAAGGAATGATTAGAGTTTTTTTTAATGAATTAAAACAAATGGGGTTTAATGAGTTGTACCTCTTCTCCTGTATTGTATATATCTACGTCTCCTAATATATAAAACAATCGTCAAAGCAACTACCAAAACCACCACCGAACTAACAATGGAAACAATAACTGCTACCATCTTTCCTGTGAAACATATAAATAAAAAATTAATCAAAAATTAAAAAAAAAAAATGCCTTTATGTTTTTAAATGGAAGATTCCATATTTCGGTTATCATAAATTATTATGTGATTTATCTAAAAAAAAAAAAAAAAGTTGATTTATTACCTCTATTGTTGGACCTCTGTATAACCTCTACAGGATTTAAAAAATCCCTATCAGAATACCTCATAAAACACCCCGTATTCAACGCCCTTCCCTCCGACGACGGCAAACATTTCGAAATCGCCGCCGACGCATTCTCCAAACACTTCCTACAATCCGCCGGACTCAAAGTCCTCCAACATTCCGCCATCACAAACACCGACTCATTACCACCACCACTCGCCACCACCACCTCCGCCCTCCCAAAATACTCATCGCTACTCAACGCCTCCGACACAACATCCACCACCGCCTGTTGAGTCAAATCTCGAAACCCTAACCTCTCCCTCGTTACATTCCCACAAACAATCGTATCATTAGGTCCTTTATACTCTTGAAAAAAGCTATAATTCTGAAGCCGCATATAACACCCGTCGATGTAAATCCGACCACCGCTATGGGGATAGCAACCGGGAAGAACAGTACGGAGTTGGGCGTAACATAACATACAATCTTGTGAAGAGAGATCGTTGAAGCATTGAGCGAGAGCATAATTTTTGTTGGGTCCTGTTCCGATTTCTATGGTTGCGTTGTTTGATGTTCGTAATCGGACGTTGATAATCTCCATTGCTTGTACGAAATTTGGGACGAATATGGTTTGATTGTTTTCGAATCCTTCGTCGCAATACATTTTGATTACTTGTGTTCTAGCATCCCCGTTTGATGTTGATATTAGTAGGGGGATTGTGATTAAAGCGATGAGGAGTGTTGATTTCTTCATCTTCTAGTTGATCTGAAGTACAGAATTTTTTGTTAGTAATGGATTTGAAAAGTGAAGTATGTTTGTTATTTTGGTTAAGAAAAAAAAAGGGTTGAATTAAAGGAATACATGATTGTTGAAGATAAATATTAAACAATAGTTGGTTTCGTTTTTGTAAGTAGCAAATCAAAATAAAGAATTAACAGAGTCTAATTTGGTGGTTATGGACTTAATGGTGGCTTTAATGCAGAATTCCAACTTATCCATTTTGTGGGTCAATAAAGTTTGACCTAGATGTCATTAGTTTAGAGCATTCTCTAGTAACCTTCAAATTTTATTTCTCTTTTGGTTTTCCGACGTAAATTTATTTTGGTTTAAATCCATCGATATGTTTTTCTACAAACCGTTTACTATAGAGAATATAGTCGTATAACTTTCGCTATTGAATATTTTTTTACCAATAAATTAGGTTGGTATGAAGTTATAATGATAAATACCAATTTCATTCTATATTTTTATTTTCAGTTGTAATAGTAAACCAACAAGATGGAATGATAAAAGTATATTGTAGGGTTGTATTTTTTGGTAGGCAAATATATAAGGTTGGTACATCTATGACTAAATCCAATGTATATTGTTGAACAAAAACGTATTATATGTGGTCAAATTTATACTTAAAACGTATATAAAAATAAGTATTGAAACGTAAGAAAACTGAAATTTATATCGACGTTAACATAAAAATAAGAAAGTTTTTTTTAATTAACAAACGAAAATTTGAATGTATGACCAACTTCATATGCAGAAACATACATAAAAATAAACATTGAAATATAAAAACCGGAATTTATACCAATACACAGAAAAATAAGTACAAAATGTTTTTTTAAGTTAATGAACGGAAGTTTAAATAATAAAAAAAGTTTTATGTGTGACCCGACTCCTAAATAAAGAGCGTATGTAGTAATAAGCACGAAAACATTAAAAAAATTCACGTTGAAACATAGATCATGAAGGATAAATACGAAAGTTTATAAAATTGATGGATGAAAACGATATTTTACTAAATTAAAATTGGACATTTTAAAAGGTAAAGAGGAAATGTCATAACAAATATTTTAAAAAATTATAGATGGAAAATGTCATTTCTGAAAGTTAGGGGTGCCAATTGTCCATGGAGACATTGGATTTTAATATAGATATAATGTGGTAATAAATTCTGTACATTATCATACCATAGTTACTTAATTGGTACGATAAAAGTTGCTTTCAAAGATCTTGAATATATATATATATATATATATATATATATATATATATATATATATATATATATATATATATATATATATATATATATATATATATATATATATAGGAAAAGTGAATATACCCTTAAGGGTATATAAGCTTGGATACCCAAACCCACCATAATATAATGTGTTGTTTGATATATTCATTATAATACTCTTAAACTTCAACCCCTAACTTGATTTACTTTCAACATTTCCAAATTTTCAACATTATCTTTCTCTTACATCACATCTTTTTATCAAATACTACTAAGCTATATATATTATAGTTAAAAGTGAAAATTATGTAAAAGGATAATAAATGTAAAATTTATAAAAATCTTCGAAGTAAATCAAGTTCGAAGTTGAATGATAAGAACATTGAACAATTACAATGTATATATATAATACAAAACGACGTAATATAGTTAGTTTGGGTACCTAAGTTTATATACCCTTAAGGATATATTCACTTTTCCATATATATATATATATATATATATATATATATATATATATATATATATATATATATATATATATATATATATATAAGAGAAATTAAATATCATCCTACATTTTATTCTTACTATTCTCCTACCCACATTAAATAGTGATAAGTGGACTAAAATATTATCAATTTCATTAAATATACCACATGTCAACATTTTATAGGGTAGGAAGATAAGTAGGAATAAAATGTAGGAAGATATTTAATTTCTCTTTAAATATATATTTATTGGTTAAGTTGATCATATATTTTTTGGTTTCTATATTTAACAACCATAGTATTATTATTTCTCATAATATAAAGTAACATTAAATGTAATGAATTTTAAGTTTTCAATATTAGTATTTTATATTTTGGAAAGTGATTTGTACACAACATGTTTTCTCCATATATATTAATATATATTTTATAAAATTGTACATTATAATATTTTAAAATATAAATTATTGTGTACAAAAGCTCTTGTTGTATTTTAACTTTATATATATATATATATATATATATATATATATATATATATATATATATATATATATATATATATATATATATATATATAACTTTATTTTGATTATTAGTTATAATTTAAATGCGTTAACTAATATTTGTAATATTATATTATTACATATTTAGTTGATCATCTATCGAGTTTAAATATATTTAAGAAAACAAAATACAAAAACATAGTTTATAAAAACTTATAATTGAGATATATTTTACCATTAATATAATTTATAAAATATACCAATAATTTGTTCAATCATAAAACTGTGATATTATCATTTATAAGACTGTTTTAATAAAAATACACACATACTTGTTAAGAATCTAGTTAATTTATTTTAAAGAAAAAAAACCCGTGATGTAAAAGTTATTTCAAATAGTTTTTAAAAACATTTAGTTTACATATTTCAAAAACTTGTAGTCATGTATATTCCAACTTCCAACTATTTTTTGCTTAACATACCCTAAACATAATTCTAATTTTATATTATGTATTTTCTAAATTATGTAATCAAATGAAAAATAAAATGAGCAGTTACGCACTTCTGTGTCTACGATAAAAAATTTTATTTCAATCAAAATAATAAGTAGGAAATATTGGATATTAAGACAAATATAAAACTATGTTTGAGGAATTCACTGAAAAATTGATGATAGATAAAAGAGTAAATTACTGAAATCGTCCCTATGGTTTGGTTAAAATTGTATGTTTGGCCACTAACTTTTGTTTTGCATTCGGATCGTCCCTATGGTTTGATTTTGTTGCGTTTTTTGTCCCTTACATACATAAACTTAGGGATCAAACATGCAATTTTAACCAAATCACATGGACGAAAAATGCAACAAAATAAAACCATAGGAATGATCCGAATGCAAAATAAAAGTTAGGGACTAAATATGCAGTTTTAACCAAACCATAACTTTGGATTCAACCATGATGTTAAAATTGTGATCAATTCTTTTTATACATGAAGCATTTTTTTTTCTTCTTTTTTATTAATGTGCCTAACTTTGTCACAAACCGGAGAACAAAAAATCCTAATGCAAGAAGAGTAAAACAAAATTAAAAGCCCAAGATACGGTAGATACCGTGGCCAAACTTGTTGGTTTTTGAAAATAAAGGACGAGTCTATAAAGTTAAAAGAAGAAGACATTCGTAGGATTCCCTATTCCCTAAATAGGAACTTTTAGGCTTGTTGACTTCCAAAATTATCAATGATTTAAAAGGGTTCATTGAAAGGAGACTATTCGATCCCTCTTTAATAACTTTAAAACCGAAATAAAGGGAGATAGTATCATCAAACTTTATAGAATTTACATGCAATTTGTTAACATTTATACTATCTAAAAGAAATTAAAAAAAATTAGGAGTTTAATGTAATTTAAAAATTATTTAATATTTATTGATTAAGTCAGATTCAGCATCTTATCAGGTCCGATACGAGCAAATTAGAGGTTTTAATTATGATATTAAACACATAATCAAATTTAGGAGTATGTTATTAGACCCAATAAAAGATATATTATATTGTTTTTAGTCTTGTTGATTTATCTAAAAAAACCAAAACATATATATTCTCTTACATTTTCTTCATAAGTGCAGTAGTTTCTTAAGAATATATTACATTTAATAAAATTAATAATATTTTAATTTATCTGTCATTATTTAATATAAATAAGAGGATAGATAAAAAAAATATAAAAAAATATTTAATTTATCATAATATAATAATATAATGGTCACCAAAAACTCTAAGTGGGTAAAACTTATCATCCAACTTATAATTTATCCTTTGCCACATAGTATTAATGCATGTGGTACCATGTTCTATGAATTAATTGAGCAACACAAATTCAAAACGCATCATTCATTACAACTTCCACTGTTCAACAACTCTACGCATTTTCTAAAGGCTCTGGGCCCATTGTGGCGTATATGTGGTGTGTTGAATGCGTATACAATTAGCAATGGATATGTGATGTGTTTATATATCTAAAAAATATAATGGAAAATATATATATATATATATATATATATATATATATATATATATATATATATATATATATATATATATATATATATATATATATATATATATTCCCAGTAACTAAAGTACAAAAACTGAAATTTTACTACGAACTCAAACAATAAACAAAATTATGCAACAACCTAACAGATACTTATTTTGTAAAAGAAGCATCAAATTGGTTGTTATAAACTTATATCGATGTTACAACCTCATTATTTCACAGATTTACCATGAATAATTGACATAAAACTCCACAGTTTCTTAAGATTTAATCAACGTCATAATATATGACGAACCAGATTGGGATTTCTTCGTTTTGACTACATTTGTATATAATGAATTCGCAAGAGTAATTTAAAGAAAGGAGATGAAGAAATGCTGAAAAAAAGGAGCATCAAAATTATATGCGCTAAACTACGTGAAGAACTTGAAGATATTTAGCAAACAGTAGAATTTTATAGTTCTAATCAAAGTAATCGCTGAAATTCCTCTGTTTCTTAAGCTTCTAAAGCTAGAGATAATTTAGCAGAAAGCAAGTAAAATCCGTTGTTGTCGCTAATGAAAAACAATTTTGGTATTATCAATCGCATGGAGTTTACGATGATCATCAATCAGAACACTAAAATCTAACTAAAACTCGATAAATTTCACATGTAATCCTGATAAAAGAGTAAAAACGAA